AATGGAAATCAAAGCTACATTATTGAATCAAATCAGCTAAAAAAATAAAGTACTTTTTAAATAATGTATGTACACATTATCTTTCAACGACATTTGAAAAAAGACAAAATGACATAACAGTGTAACTGACAAATTAAATTGATATTCCTGTTTACCCGAGACTTGTGTCAGTTACAGAAAATAAGACTACCAAGACTTGAAATTAAGCACCCTTTCAGATAAACATACAGTCAAAAAAAATAATTAATTCTTGAACAAAGTTAAAAAACAAAAAGGAAGCGAGAATCATTTACCGCGTTGTTTGCTGGTGTAAAACCACCTCTGTACTTTCTTCTCTGATTGACTGAGGTCAGAGTTGAATATTTTGAGGACAGCCACTGCAATGAAAATGAAACCTTTACCAATATGCAAGTAAGGCCAAAATATGAAATCAATTAGTTATTATTTTGAACACATACATCTTATTGCGTGGTTGAGCCTGGTGGTTTTAAAGGCAATTTTTGACCCCTCAGTACCCTCCCAACTGATACTTTTGGCAAAGTCATTTGAAATGAGTTTGGAAAGGAGTTTGCCAGTGAACTTCCACTCATCCCAGTCTTCTGCATAGTAGTTTGCAAAGTACTTTACCTAATGAAATATTCAACAAAAAATTTGTTACAAAAATTACTAATAAATCAAAGATTAGATTAGATTAAAGGTTACTTACAGCCTCACGCCTCTGAACTTTAATTGACAGGTATTCTTCGATGAACTCAAAATCATCCTCCGTCTTGAGAGGAAACTTGTCAGAAGGGACAAAATCAAAATCATCCAGACGTTGTTCGTCTTCGTCTTGAACACAGGACAGAATTCTTTTTTGATTTAAAATAACTTTTTGCAGCATCGTTTTGATGTTCTCATACATTGTCCTCATAAAGTTGGAGAAGGTGAGATGATGGTACAGCAGCGGAGGTTGAATTTCCAACACCTGCATGAAAACCAAATCAATTTGAAATTGCTCACTTATTGTTAATAAATAAAGTTAACAACCACTGGGGGGTGCTTACTGTGAGAGGGTACACTAATAGGTGATGGTGAAGGGCCAATAGAATGATCAGAGTTGCAAGGAGCAGAATCCACATCACTTCCTACAACAACAAAAGATAATGATGTATAATTTTACTTGCTTCAAATATTTGAACTTATTCTACAGCTTGACACTCTTTATGTCCCACTACACTCACTGGGTGAGCCTGAGCCTGGTGATGTCCGGGTATGAAGGGTATCGTGGTCCCCACAGAAAGAGCCGGAGGGTGAATTATTACCATCTGAAAGTTCTGAAACAGGAGCAGGCACAGAGAAATTAAGATAAAATTGCAAATTTAATAAGAAATTAATGATACAATACAAAATCTATCACATTCAAAAAAAAATATTATTCCCTTATCATGGAACCTTTACCTTTACCTTTGTCAACAGTTGTCAGACTAGTTGGCTTGTCACCTAGAAGCACCTGATTTTCTCGGCTAGCACTTGAAATTTTAATGGGAGTACCCCCTAGAGCAAGTTGTTTCGGTGGATGCAAAGACACCTTGGAACTGCCACTAGACCCTGCAAATTAAATAAAAAATGAATGATAGGAAACAAAATATGTAAAAAAATGTATTATTTCCTCATCATGGTTTATATTTCACCTTTAGCAACAGTTCCACTAACTGGCTGATTTTCACAACTACCACTTCCAGGTTTACAAGTGGTACTTCCTAGAGTAACAAGTTGTTTCGGTGGATGCAATGATACCTCGGCAGAGCCACCAGATCCTGCAGATTAGATAAGCAATGAATGATAAGAAACAAATCTACGTATTACATTAAAAAAATTATTATTCCCTCATCATGGTTCTTATCTTACCTTTAGCAACAGTTCCACGAACTGACTTGTCACCTGTAGGACTCCGCTCACATCTACGACCACTTCTTGTTTCAGTACCTGAGCATAAAAAGGAGTATTAATGTTATTGGATTGTAAGGACTAAGGTTTTGAGACCTTCACCCATTGAAAAACATTTCAAAATTGAAAATTACCTTTTACTTTGTGTTGAGACTCTATCGGTACAACCACTTTACTACTTTTTTCCTTCGGTTGACTAGCGTTTGGTTTCACCTGCACTGCTCTTCGAGCGATTACTTTGTTGAGTTTTTCTTCAAGTTTATTGAATACTGGGGCAGGTACAGTCTTTGTTGAATCATCAGAGTCCGAACCAAAGCGGCTTTTAGCAGGGGCTGATGACTTTTTTCTCTTTGGTGCTTTAATTTCATCATCTTCCTCCACCAGTCTCGTTGGTCTTCTTTTTATTCTTGGACGTTCGTAGTCTGTTGTTTTGTCCCCCTCAGCTTTCATGCCCTTTTCTAGAGCCTTGAGGTTCTTTAAGCCTCTTCCATAGGTTCCTGAAACAACATTAATTACAAAGAATGAACATGCATGTAAATTAAATAACTCGGAAAACATTCAAAAGTAAAAATAATGTACTCACTGTAACTCCCCTCAACAGATACATCGATATGTTGCCAGGTTTTGGGGTCTGGTGTAGCGTGGTTTGCGGCCATACGTCCTGCTCGGTCCATTGCAATAGAAGCAGGTGGCCACCAGCACTTGGTTTTGTCTTCATTCAACCATGTAGAGCTGATGACTCTGAGGTTGAATGCCTGTGGCTCATCTTCTTCACTGTCCCCATCATACCCAGTGTCTGGCGCAAACAGCTTCACCAAGGAAAACTGTTTGAGGACAGAATTGATTAACAAATTAGTGTCGCAGAAAGTGAACGAGAGGGACTGAGATGAAAGAGTCACCATCAGGCATGAGATAACATTTTCTTGAAAACACAGCAAAGTCCCAGGCATGTCTGATGTTTTCCAGTTCGGAAACTTTCCAGATCCCCAAATGGGAGGAAGGAATTGGAAACTCATAAACATTTTCTTTTTGCATGAATTTTCTTCCTATTAAAATAATGTTACCATTATCTTGTTTTACTATATTAGAGAGCAAAATAATTTCAGAAGTAGGTGTCATGAAACAGCGATCTCTGTCGTTTAGAGTCAATGTGATATTCTTGAGTTCTAGTTTTTGGTACTGCAGTCCATTAATTAATTCTCCACCTTCCCTAGCATGTTCTCTGCTCAGCACAACATTATTTTGGTCCACATGCTCTTGAGGTCTACACAAATGGCCATTTCTTTCTGAATCCCTGTTAAAAACTTGTTGTAATGACCTATAGCCTGACTTCAGGAGACGCTTTAAGACACCCAAATAGTTTTCGTATTTGAAAGCATCAAACTCCTGAAGAGTACCATTCTCTTCACACTCCTGTGCAATGTGGCGGAGAGAGTGCACATTGTAGACCACAAAATGGCGTCCAAACACCCTTGTACTGTGACTGACAAATTCCTGAATCATGTCATTTGCAATATCAAGGAAATCTCTCAAATTTTCACTGGAAAGAATGTATATGGCAGAATGGAGAAGAAGAAAGTTTTTATAGAGATTTTCATCAAGGTGACTGAAAACTTTGATTCCATCATATGCTAGTAATCTTCTCAACTCGGTGCCCTTCAATTTATTCCCAGCTCTCTTCAGCTCCTTTGGCCGCCTAGAAAATTCTGAAGGAGTAAAAGGGTGAATTTCTAACAATGAGTCAGATATTAACTGCAGTTCTTCATCAGATATACGAAAGTTCCCTCGTTCTTGACAAATAAACCTTAGCCACCTTCTAAAAGAGCCCATATAGATCAGGTGGAGGGGGTCCAAACGAAAAGCTGATACCATGCCTGTGCCAATATCTTCAAGGGGCGACCTCATTCGCATATGGTGGGGGGGGTTTTCTCTATTTACAAAAGACTCATCAGTTCTAAGATTAAAATTTAAGCTTGTAAAAGTTGATCTATTACGGATCCAAACTCCTTCTACGTCACACTTCTCACATGCAAATGTGCCATTGTGTCCCACACAACACTTAACAAATGCACGGGCAACCCGATCTAAAATGTAATTTCTAACTCTAAAATTACAATTCAACCCAAATAGAGGACAGCCATCACGAATCAAAATTTGTACTTCTTGAATATAATTCTGCAAAAATGCCCTAAGGTCAGTGGGCTTCTCAGAGAAACCATGCCAGATGGCAATGATGAAGGGCTCTCTTTCCCCCTGAAGACATCCCAAAATGGGAAAAAAACAGGCGGAGTTGCCACTGTGGAGAGGAATGCCATCCATATTTATGTCAATCACAATTTCATTGTCATACTTTTGAAGGTACTCAGGGTTGACTCTTGTGAGCAGGTTGGGCATGATCCCTTTATACCAAAAGAGGCCACCACCTAGTTCTTGGATGGGCCCAGAGGGGGGTGTTTGGAGAAGAGTCCTGCAGGTTTTAGGCAAGAATGGATGGTGAGGCTGTAGTATACTTAGAACCTCATCCACCTTGTTCACAGATACCCCATAGCGGGCCCAGGTCTTCATTTCTTCTAATAAGTTCAAGTTCCTATCAGCTTCATTGCCCTCATCAGAACTACTCGAGTCGTGATCTGCTCCACCACTGCCACCACCCACACTGCTTCCTTCATCGTCTCCACTATCACTATTCTCCTCATCAGCAGCTTCATGCCTTTCATCCATGTCAAAGTCATTCATGTCAACATCTCCATCACTATTGCCTCCGTCATTACTTTCAGCATCCTCACCATTACTACCACTATTGTCAGTTTCATTATCCTCATCACCAGCATCTTCACCAACATCTTCACCGCTACTACCACCGTTTTCAACTGCATTCTCTTCACCCAATTCATTTTCCGCATGCTCCTCAAATAATTCTCTTAATTCTTCGCGCATATCTCCAAGCCTCAACCTCTCCAGGGCAGCGACCCTGTCCCTGTTGCGGCCTACTTGGTTCCATGGCTTTGACAGAAAAGAGAACAATAGTCACAGGACATAAATATTGCCTGAATAGAATTTAAACGACATTAAAGTAAAATCTACTTTTCTATACAGCAAAGTATGACCACATCCGAAACAGAAATCTATTGACTATGAAAATAAAACTTCTGCAGCTTCCCAGTCATTTATTATAATGAATAGTACTTCAAATATTACTTTTTGAAGAGTGTCTATCAAACTGTAAATTTTACTGACACTTTAAGCGAAGCACAGACAACTTCAATTAAATAAAAGGACACCCAGTAAAAATGAGTACTGTAGCGTAAATTTTAATTATTTTTGGTAATGATCTTTAAAGAAAATAACTTTTGTGGAACAAACCTCCCACTGCATTTTGACTTCTATAATCATTCTGTTCCAATAAAAAGTTTGAAAGATTTCCTCAAAATTGCAAAGTATATATCATTTACCCCCTTATCAGCTACGATAGAAAAGTGTATTGTCATCACAATTTTGTCACTCAACATGCATTAAAACCCTCAAGTCACAAAATGATTTCAAAGTTTGACCTAACCTAGACAACATACCTGTTAACAAACCACAAATGAAATCAGAATTAGTGGTAAACAAAACGTCAAGTGCCTCACCGGTGCGAGTTGATTTTCCTCTTCTCCCTCAGCCATCCTTTTCCCCTGACAGCGCACGTAAAATAATAGTTAAACCTGAACAGTGGGATCACACGTGGAAACTTGGAAACTTCTTAGCGAAAACACACCGGCCGGTCGCATCGTCGCATCAGTCGAACGCGCCAAATTTCAAAAGGTTCAAACAGTTGATATCGTGTTATCGTGTTCACTACGTCAACATGACGTCAAGTAGACGTCATTAAGACCGGAATTGAAGTACTTCTTTTAAATGGTTCACTTAGTGATGCAAATTTATTGAAAACTTCAGTGTTACAAGAAATTTTGTGAAATTTTCAAATACAACATATTCTGTTGGTCATGGAAGTCTAAATCAAAATTGTGTCATGACAGGTCATTTTTCAATCCGTGACTTATTTTAATCATTTATAGGTCAACTGATGTCAAAATGACTTTTTTCTGTCCCCTGGGTAGTTGCTAAGTTCTCTATGCAGTAGGATTTGTTTGGAAGTGTTGAAATGTCGCAAACTTACAAGTGCTTAACACATTCAAAAGTTTAACAAAAATGCTACTGCGCTTCTTTTGGGTTCATCAAGTGCGGGGCAAAAGCACACAGTGCAACGCAACACAAATTCAAAAGACTGTGTACTAAAAGTGATTCACCTTGCAATGGACATCTGGACACTGCGCTTGCTGTATCCAAAGGGAACGCAATAACATTTTTGTTCGACATTTTGATGTCTTACCCACTTGAAAGTCGACGAAATTTCCACACTTCAGAAAACGTTCTACTGAATATATAATTCTAATAGCCT